AAGACTTCATTTTGCAGTTTCGAGAAACAAAATCATGGCACACATACTTTTAGTTAATGTGCACTGGGCATGTAATCGGACTGATTGTTTGCATGAGCGTGTTGTTCTTTATTGTCACCGCCTTGTCAGCAGGTGAGCTCACGGTGACTAACGTGCACACGTCATCCGCGATCCGCCGAATGACACTGCGATGTTTTCCGGCTTGTCCAGAATGAGTTACACGCAAATGTCTCGAACCGAATTTGTGCACTCACTCCTATTTCGACGCTACATGACTGCCGATCGTGTTTCTTTCCTTTTCACGTAAGACTGCCACATTTTAGAGTGGCGACCGTGACATCGTTGTGAACACGTCATTAAAAGCAGTCTACCTGTTCCCGGTAGCCTCTATTGCGCAGGTGGCGAGCCGTTCACCGCGAACATTCATTTTCCCTTGTTTGTTGACGCGCGGCGTACTCCACTCTGATGACCAGTCACGCAGTTCACGCACAAGCGAGGCACAAGCGAGAGTGCGCTTAAGTTCAACCGCTGCAAAGATTGATATCTCTCGTAGCTTCACTTCTGCTTTTAACTTGCCGTCCTCTAACTGTTGAGACTGCAATACATGGCCGCTTTCAGTTATGTTTTCGGTAACCGACGGGCTCGTACGTGACCAAGGCCTACACCGTTGACTCGACGACCGCTATTGACCACCGCGAGTTCATTATCCTCGTTGCACTGAGCCATAGTGGGGCTCTTTCTGAAGTTCATGGCGAACGAACGATTGCCACACCGGCTTCATGAATTCTTTACTGCAGCAGGTAGTCGACAGCACCATGACAAAATGGTGCATGTCTGCGCGTCACGATGGTGAAGCAGACGCCGGAAACGCCACTTCGCCAATCGAATGCCTAGGTTTTGTCATGTGCCCCAAGCAGCCAAAAATATATCTGATCTGAGCTAGCAAACAAAAAAAAAAAGTTTATTCTAAAAATTCAAAAGTATGTCCGCTGCTTTCTATTCTTTCCCAGCAGCGTCACGACGACGTTCTCACTCACACATAGCGAAGCCATGGCGATTTCTGCATTATTGTATGCCATTCTTATCGTACATCACTCCTGGCTAGCTGATTTTGTTGATAATGCGCTCTGATTAGTTACCACACTTACGAAGTGTGAAGCATCGGAATCAGAAAAGGCATCGTGCCGCAGTTGCACCCAGCAGCTGTGAGAAGAAAACCATGAACTGAGCTTCAGCTTCGGATCGTCTGTAACTCAAAAGCAAGCCAGTGGCAAAACAAAAGCATGGCAGTCTCGTTGCGATCACTATCGAGCAATGGCAGCACACATGCTTGCTGAACAGTGGCGGTTTCTGGTGGTGCCAATGCGTGTTTTAGACTTCGTTGACGCATTTTCGGGCTCTGAAAATGAATAGAAGTGTTAAAGATTGGGTTTACTGCATATGAATAAGTATCTGAACCTGGAATTGCATCATAAAATTTCGTTTAAGCGGGACGATCGAAGAAAAAGTGTTCGCTGTGGCGACAATATTTATACATTGACTTCTATGGACTACTGACGGGGAATCGTGAATTTTTCGTTGAAGCGGTGTTCGTTGTAGCGGAGTCCGATTATAGCACCACCACACACTTTACATTGCATCCTTACCAAAGACATGAACCACAGAGAGTAAAAATGCTGCACGCGAGTGCAGGAAACACCATTTATGTGAATGCTTACATGCGCAGAATAAGTTCAGTAGACTCTCTGTAAACGGAAATCTGTTAGACAGAACTACTGCTTAAGGGGGGATGCTACACCTTCCAAAAACTCTTTTATTTTTGCGAGTACCTCAGTCAAATTTGGAGAGCCTATGTAGATTTTACTGCTGATTTCAAAAATCTAATTCTTTTTTTGCTGTGACAATTAGTTTTAAAGATGTAATGAACTGCGTCTTTTTCAATTAAGGCCTAATTAGCTAATTAACTGTAACTTGGATATTGATGTGCAACCTATAGAACCAATTCGGTATGTTCACAGTGTGCAATAAAGTATAAATCATTGTTCTGGGCTATTTCGAAGCAAAGTTGTGGGATGTTGAATATGACATGAAAAATTTCCCCATCTACACTTGAAACAAAAGATCCATTTAGAGAATTTTCTCCAAAAATTATTACAATAAAACTTACTTTACGACACATCCCCTGCATTTATCTTCGAAACAAAAAGAAATCGTAATGATAACCCAGATAGAACAAGAGATATTGCTCCGGCATAATGGGAAGCACATGAAAATTGTCGTTTTGAGAAATCGAGAAAAAACGTGGGCACACATTTTTATTGCAGAAGATGCAACAAGACAACCTCAAAACGCACCAGAAGCATAGTCTGAATGCATTCTGTGCTCATGCCTCCTCTTCACTAGCTTCCGGAGTTCCAATGAGGCTGTTCTTTTCTTGTTGGAGACAATGCTGCGACGGTGGTCTTTTTCTCTCGCTCTCCTGGCACCAGTACTTGTCGCATTCATGTCCATTTCACCTAAGATTGCCGTTGCAGAATTCAAATTGCCCGTGTTGAAGCGCAGCACTGCTTCTGCAACAGCTGCTTCAACAGCGAACAGGGACGCATGGTGCTCCTTGGGGGCCAAACTCCAGATTACCGAATGTAGGCTCTCGTTGGAGTTCTGCGTTTTGCCGCGTTCGCACCTCTGAAGCAGGGCTCTTTCCGAAAGCCGGGTATAAACCGGTAGTAATGCCTCTGCCACGTCTTTCGGTAGATTGTAGGCATGCCTGGGGTCGGGCTCACCCTTTGCTTTTGCGGCATTGTGCCGACACCATGAAGTTTCACCAGCTGGGCACAGACTGTGGTCCGAGCATTCATCAGTGGAGGTGACGTGGCGGTATGTGGCCATCACAGCCTTTTGCATCTCGCCCACGTCACCTTCATGCGATTCCAGAGCCCGGCCATAATATGTGCTCAGCCTGGTGATCAGCTCACCTGTGAGCCTGCCTTTCCCACCAAGGCCTCTTTTTCCCATCGCACTTTTGTTTCTGCACCAGGTTTCTCAATGCGGTGCCCATCCGTTTCTGTACATGATTAATACAGTCTTCCTTCTGCATGTCAATGTAACCATACACCTTGGCGTCTTGTATGGCGCAAAATGTCCTAGAGTCTCCATCAGACAGCATAGTTGTGTAGCGCAGGCCATGGCGTTCAAGCGACCTTTGAAATAGAATTAGAGCCGTCTCCACTTCCATTTGCTTCGCTTTGCTGTTCGTATATTTTTGGCATTTGTGGTTAGCCTTCCATTCTTGATAGCCCTCACTACTAGGCTTTGGGCCCACCTCTCAGCCTAGGCAAAAGTTGGAAAGAACGACGTAGTCCAACACGTAGCCACTAAATAATTCGATAACTGTGCCCACGCCGATGTGGGAAGAATGGCCTCGCGTCTTCCACGTGCCGTCGTAGCTAACGGCAATATTGCCCCGGTGGCCGAAGCACAAGTCATCATAAATTGTTCTAACCTTTTCCGCACATTCGCTCATAGCGGACTCAGCCGCTCGCGTTGCAGCGGGTGCCAGCGTGTTCTTCAAATGCCGCTGAAACGTCTTGTGGTGCATACCGCGGTGTGAGATGCCCATTGTTGCGAAAATATCGTTCATTTTCGTTTGGCCGTTGCCGGTAGCCACCATCGCCCTCGAAGCGAGAAGATTTACTTCAAACAAATTGCACGTTTTCGTGCCGTTCGCGCGGGGCGAAGTCCATTCATTCGCGATCTCGCCGCACCTTTCACACTGCACTAGCACTTTCACGGCAAGTCCGTAGTCCCGATCCCCTCTGACGATCGTAGCCCATTATCGCGTTTAGGATATCTAGATGCATAAGCAGATAAGGAGCAGCGTGGTCAGTCCTGTGCGGTTGCCTCGCTACAACTCGCGGTGAAAAAGTCAATTTTCCGTGCAGTTGCTGGCGCCGATGAAAGCCGGTCGAGCGTCGCTTTCTCCCGGGCATGATTTTCTTCAACTTCGGCGTTTGTCACCACCTTGGCGTCGATTCGTAGTCGTCCGGAGTTCGCTTCACCGTCATCGTCGTCGGAGGCAACGCGCTCGGTCGCACCATCGCTGAACGGCCGCGGAGCGTCGACACATCGTTCGTCGGAGTCAACCAAGGGCTCTGATGACTTCGTAGACTTTCTCCCACGACCTTTGCGTTTCCTGCGACCAAATGCGTGCACGGTCCGATACTTTTTTGCGTTTCCAGGCATGGCGATACGATCAGAAGCTTCAGAGTGCTCGGCCGATTTCGAGGCATCACAGCGGTAACCCTTTCAAAATGGCGTCGGGTCGCGTATGCAGGCGCAAGCCGCGAGCTTCCAGCCAACCGGAAAGCGCCATTTCAGTCACGTGCGCCGTTTAGCCAATGGCAGTGAGCGCGGCTCTTCGTCTTTGAGGCCCCGTTTTTCGAGCCGGGGAAACGCTCAATGTTGCTTACTGAATAAAAAAAAAAAAACAGCTGAAAACGCGTTCTTTCAAACAAGACCAAAATGGCGCCAATCGAGCGCGTAGTTCCCGCGTATCGTAGAGCCGAAACCTGCGCTATTCGCCCTCAATTTAAAGGGCAGGACGCCCGTTTTCGGTTTTTTAAAGTTGAATAACGATAAAAGTTGATGGTATTCGACTATGAAATTTTGTAAATAGGTGCGCAATGATGTCGGGAACGCGAAAAGAAGGTCCGCGAAAACTCGATTTTTTGGCTGATTTTCGGTCCCGAAGTGCCGCGTCCCCCCACAGAACTATTGCCTCTGCAATGCTTAGTTTCGGGCTTGCATTTTTCACCCATGTTCACCTCTCAGTAAACGGAACTCCTGTTAAATGGAACATATTTTCTCTGTCCCTTAAGGTTCTGTGTATTGGGTCTACGTTATTTGTGTTAGGAACAGACACCTTTTCTGCTTGCTTTTCCTGTGCTCTTGATTTGTAATTATGTGTAGTTCTTAATAGTTCTGAAACACGCAATGTGCAGGTATCTACATGGACCGGCGGTGTGTCTACTACCGGAAGCCCCTGCTGGAGTCTGGCACGCTGGGCACAAAGGGCAACGTGCAGGTGGTGATTCCTCACCTGACAGAGTCGTACTCATCATCCCAGGATCCACCTGAAAAGTCCATACCCATCTGCACACTCAAGAACTTCCCAAATGCCATCGAGCACACGCTGCAGGTCAGTGACACCCTTTCTTTGATCATGTCGACAGGGCTATCTGAACGAATCTGAAATTATGGTGCGAGGATCCATTTCCAGAACATGTGGTGATTGTGTAGTGGAGGCTGCTTGGAGTATGTAGCTCATGCGGTGGGGCTGTGCTCCACAATGCACAGCAGGAAGGCTGGGCAAAAAGGCTGACAGCTATTGCCTCTGCAATGTATAACCATGCTTGTGGACGTGGACTACACCTAGCATTTCCATATTTTATAGAAGAGCAAAAAAGGAGAAATCGTTTCTGTAAAATATCTTTGCAGCTCCTATCTCTTCATAGCTTCCCCAAAGAGCTTAAATCTAAATTGTTTCCTGTAGCTAGGGCTATTGAAGCCACAATTTCACTTTTACCGTAGACTGGGAGAACAAACCATTGTGATTTCGTGCGTCCAAGTGTGTTTTTCTGGCACAATATATTGTACTAGGAGTTGATAGTGTTGGCGTCCTATGAAGGCCTGCTTTTAAAATGGTTGTGCTTCTTTTCTTTTCAGTGGGCTCGTGACGAGTTCGAAGGCTTGTTCAGGCAATGTGCGGAGAATTCTGTCCAGTATTTGAAGTGAGTATGATTCCACTGTGCCTGTCACTTTATTTTGTAAGTGCTTTCTCCTTTTCCAATTTTAATGTCACTCTCAATGCCTTAGAATTAGGTTTGTGGGTGTGGGAGAGAGAAACCTTTGAAAGGAAGTGGGGTGACTAATATTAGTTTCCAACGTTTTTCTACCTCAAATCTCTGCATTTGGTTTTTTGCTACACATTGAAAGTTTATACTATAATTTTTCACTACTTCAGTACATTAAGAGGGAAGCCTATCATGGAAGGGCAACTTTCGTGTTTGTTGAGATGTCCTAATGAAATTTTCAGAGTAGGCTAATAATAAAGCCTTTTGAATAGCCACAAAATTTCATGCGTTTAGGTTCACTGGTTCCCAAGTTACAGCCATTTATCAGGATACTGTATAACCTCTTTACAACGGATCTGCTTACAAGAGACATTTGGATACTACGTACCAATTTGCAGATTATGTTGATCTCCCTATCTGTACCATTGATAGAGATTTGTTTACAACGGATTGGGGTACAACGGACATTCGGACATGATTGACTGAAATAAGAGGCCATAAAAGTAGTCGGCACTCCTTTACAGCGGACTTTTCACATCGCTTAGCATACTTCCAGGACAAAAGCAATGTGCCTGCGGTGTCAACACAGGTGGCCGCCATTTTGAGACGGCTGTGCTTGGCTTTTGGCTAACGAGGCTTACTACTACTAATAGCTAATGCATTGTACAAATATGGATGCATAATTTTTAATGATTAGTGTTATCAGAGCAAGAAACAGTCTGCCTATTGACTAAAAAAATAACATTAAAGCAATACTTTTTAAAGCAAGCTTTTAAAGCAATAGTTTGTAGGAAGTGCTCGCTTCGTAGTGCCCCCTCTCGGAATAGAAGTTACTGTCGGCATGGCGCTGACAGCAGGAGATTTGTTCAACTGGAGCTGTTTTGATGTTTTGTTAGTCCTCTCACAGTGTGATTGAGCCAATAGAGCTGAGCACATCAGCCAATGTCGCACGTCGTAAGCCACTGCAAGCGACGAAGCGTAAGAAGATATCCCTGAAAGACAAGCTTGATATCATTGAGCAAGTTGAAAAGGAAAAAAAGGTGGGCGTCGCCGTGGCGTATGGCTTGTCGAAGCAGACGGTCAACATCATTGTCAATGCCAAAGCGACGATCTTGTCGAATAGAGTATCAGGTGACTTACAACCCGAAAGGTTTCGACTCCGTGAAGCTTCATATTCAGACGTCTAAGAGACCCTGCTGATGTGGCTTCGTGGCGCCAGTTCGCGAAATATTCCCGTGAACAGACTGCGACAGTACCAGCAATCAAAAGCATAGGAGATGGCCGACCGGTTTTTGAAAGATCAGTGGAAGTGTGAACACATAGGCTTCATCTGGCGATGCTCAGAGTAGTGGGGGGACAAAGCAAAGCACGGAGGGGTGCGTAGCAAAAAGCGGTCGGGGAAAGCGGCAGCTAGAGGGGCGCAGAGGCAGGGTCGGCGATTAACAATAAGAATGTATGGGCACTTCGCCAATGCCTGGTCGATGGTCGAAAGTTGTTTCCTAAGAAGTCAGCCGAGTGCCGACCCTGTTTGCTGTAACCGATCAGTGTCGCTCGTAGACGTTAGTTGTAAGTGCAATTTTGTGCCATTGAACCAATGTATATTTTCGCGGTCACGGGGATAGTTTTAAGTAGGGCCGTTATATGTGGGCTCGACTGTAGTGTCTAAAGCTGTCTGCCACACAGTGCAGGCAAGGCTGACTAGCTTTCTTCAAAAGATCTAAAATAAATCTATTAGTCAATCGTGTTGTGTGTTACTTGCAATTCTCTCTTGTTATAACAGACTTTTTATGCAATCACATAAAAGTCTAATGTAACAGTACATGGATTTAACATACTTTCTTTACAACAGACTAAAATCCTCTTCACTAAAACGTCTGTTGTAACAAGGTTATACTGTAGTCTGCATAGGTTTTTTCAGTCAGGCTCTGGTGAACTTAATAAATCTGCTAGCACCGTGAAATTTACTTTGTTGATTCCTGGACGGGTGCATTATACTAGAACAGAGCCCCCCCCCCCCCCCTTTTTTTTTTTTACTGAAAATGTTTAGCAGAATACTGGATTTGGTGTTTTTTTTTTTTTTTTTGCCATTGAGCATTTATCAATGAAATTTTAACCATTTATCACACATTACAGATGCAATAAATTTTTAAAATGGCTCTGTCAGTGTGTGGGATATTTATTAGAGTACATAATAAAATACATCTGATAGAAATCAGATGAACGGTTGCAGAGATATCGCCAGACTAAACAGCCTCACTGGCCAAAAGAGTCATTCTGAGAAAACTTTGAAAATTTCAAACGCATATTTTGGTCTAAAATAACCCTGCAATGTAGCTAGACACGTTCTTTACTATTTTCCGTTTCCGCCTTTCCTGCTTGTGTTGGAGCCGTTCTTGAACCTTTTTCACACGGAAAGGGTATCTCTCCGCTGCCCGTTGGTTTCCAACATTCGCTATCCTCTGCAGCTAGCTCCTCGCACGTCCGAAAACGTGTTGGAATATGCACAGTTGACAATGCGGTCGCACTGTTCGGGGCCGTAATCGCTGCAGTTAGCGAGCGCAACGCATCAGGCGCACTTGAGCACGAAACACCACACCAGCCTCACTTGTGACAGTGTTGCACCGATGGTGTAGCAATGTCGACGTCGCGATAAGCAGCAATGCAGTCATCCGTCTTCTTGAGACGAAGAAGCTGCTCAGTATCGATGCGACTGTCGCCCACACATTAGCGTGTGAACGAGCCTCGTCATGCGTACGAGCTTCATCGGGCGCTTTCTTGAACACAACGCGTGCAGAGTCCATTAGTGACAGAACAACAATCAGTGTCCCGTGAACACAGCGAAAGATCGTCTCGTAAAGACTGAAAAAACGGGACACACAAAGCACACTTGGAGAACACCGGCGTTTGCAAGGTCGGCGCCGGGGCAGACGGCGAGCCGGAAGAACAGATGCGTCATTGCGCGCAGCAGCCAATAGGAGCTGCATCATCGCCCACTCCCTCGAGAGGCTCGCGCTTCTTCCAATCGCGGCTTTGCATCCAAGCCACGGCAGACTTTAAGACTTCATGAGCCCTCTAATCATGCGCGATTCCTGCTTCAGTCACGCCGCTGCTGCTGCCGCGAGTGGTGAAAAAAAAAAAAAGAGCAAGAATTCTCGAGCAAAAAAAGACCAATATGGCGGTGCTGGGCCGCGTTGGGAAATGGCATACTTGCGAAGTTGTGGTATTTACAGTGCTCGCTGCCCACTTGCCAGCTGCTGCGGCATGTTATATAATTTGACGTACTTCTGCAATGAATTAAACATTGATATTTACAGAACAGATAGTGTATAAACATACTACCCGTATATGTGGTTTTCCAAAAATCGACATTTTGTGTTTTTTTTTTTTTCAAAGGGCGCGCCCCTTTGTAAACATAATGTGCCACAGAATATGGCAGCCATGAAGGAAGTTTGCATTATTCATGTGCAAAGTGTTGCTTTTGCTGGCACAAAAAGCAGAAAGCACAGAAACAGTGCTTGCTGCACAGTTTCTGTAAATAAACTTCGATCAATTAGGCCCAACTGCTGTAGCAAGCTATCGCTTGCCAGGAAGTTTTATGCCAACAGGTCATCGGGCTTGATCAGCTGTCTCATTCTGGACAAAAGCCTAATGATTGGAGTATTGGGACAACGATGCTGGGAGGCTATAAGATTCGACCATCCCACAAAACGCATCCTGTTTCCTGTGTGAACTGATTGGCTAGACTGAGCCAATAGCACCTTCCAGTCTATTCAGAGAACCGTATTAGTACATTTTTTTCATTAGGTGCATTCCATTGTATAGAGACCACCGAACCCTGTAGTATTATTAACACTGTCGTTTTATTTCTCACGGCCATCTTTAGAGATCCAAGGTTCATGGAGAAGACTCTAAAGCTTCCAGGAAACCAGCCGGTATGTCTTGTTGCACCGTTTTATTTACCGTTGCACTGTTTATTTACCGTAAGAACTAGTAGTAAGCTTGGGTTTCGGAAATGATGGTTGCCTAGACACTCCGGTTACTACGGGATAGTATGCAGTGTTAGGCAAGGCAGCTGAAGGATCAGGGGGTGGGGGGGGTCGTGAAAATTAGCTAACCGTGAGGGCCAGCAGCTACAAGGGACTGGTTGCTTTCTATTGCTAGGAAAGAAACTGTCATGCTAGATATGAATGCAATAGCCCATTATTTTTCAAACATTCTTGAAAGTAAGGAAGACTTCCTGTAACTTGCACGCGCATGCCAAGTTGTTTTTGTGGATGCGGCACATTGCTACACCTCTGTGCACTACGGTGTTTGAGAGGTGTTGTCGCCTTGCAGCTCGAGGTGCTCGAAGGGGTCAAGCAAATGCTGGTGGACGAGCGGCCGACATCGTTCGCTGACTGTGTGGCGTGGGCGAGGCTGCGTTTCCAGGACCAGTACAACAACCAGATCCGGCAGTTGCTGTACAACTTCCCTGAGGATCAGGTGAGTGTTTTATTTCCCCCAAGTTGCGAACTTTGGTCTCTCGTAGGAGTCTGGGACAGAGGAAGTGAGTTGTGGTCTTGGCTGCGATTAGCTGGCACTAGGATTGCTGCGTGAAGACATCAAACCAGCTCTGGTGGTGTCATGAAAGCTGTGTTGATGTTGGTGTACAGGTTACATGTAACGTGGTTTTGCTTTTGTCAACTTTTCTTGCATTGTTGCCCGTTACGTGGGTATTTGTCAGCCTAAAAAAAAAATTGTTGTGTTTCCTTCTTTCAGACTACAAGTTCGGGTGCCCTGTTTTGGTCTGGCCCCAAGCGTTGTCCCACGCCCATTGAGTTTGATCCCAATGAGGCAAGTACCGCCCTGTGCTCCGAGCTCCATGTGTAACTCTTAGTCAGTTCCGATAGCTCTCGTGTAGACCTCGTGCACTCGCGCAAGGTTGTATTTTAGTTTGTTACAAAAGCATTGTAACATCCATTCACAAAAATAGAGGCCCTTCTTCAAAATAGTGTGCAAAGTTAGGAGTGAGGCCATTACAGTGAAGGTAAAAATTGTTTAACTACCAATCTGGAACTGCATTTATTGTGCAAGCAAACACTTCGCACGCTTTAACTTAGATATGCAAGATAGTCAACAGCACACTTGATATTCTAGAGATTAGTAAGCTTTAGGTTGCTTTTATGACCTGTGCTTGTAATGGTAGTTTGGCAGCTACGGCTTTCAACTAACTGGAAGGGTGTGGGCTTTATTTCCTTCCATAGTGTCCACATTCTGTTAGCTCGATTCTTGGGTGATCAGAATCTAACATGTGGAGTCCCCTCCGCCATTATAGCATGCCACATAATTGCAAGTGCTCAGCCTACGAAATCCTAGAAATTAAGGAAAAAGGCTACTTGTAGAATATCTTATTCTGTAACATGAAACTTTGGAATATTAATTGTAAATAGTTCTTGATACAGGTTTTAAAACTAAAAAGTATTACTGTAGCTTTATTAGGTTCACATTTCCAGGAACATTAGCACAGTACTGTAGGGGTTTTTCACACACATTAACAACATTTTTGGGAACTTTGCTCATATGCAACTGTGCATTGGCAATGCAGACTCTGCACATGGACTACATAGTGGCTGCAGCCAACCTGCGGGCTGCCATGTTTGGCCTTCCGAAGTGCACCGACCGGGAGGAGATTGCCCGCGTCCTCAAGCTGGTCAAGGTGCCACCGTTCGAGCCACGGCAAGGGGTGCGCATTGCGGTCACAGATGCCGAGGCCCAGCAGAGCATGGGAGGGCCCACAGGTACGTCTTTCTAGTGGACGCTTTCGAAACGGGCGGCTATGATAGTTAGCTGTCCACAAACACTACAGGAATAGGGTGTATACCGTATTTACTCGCATAATAGGCGCTTTTTTTTTTTTTTTTTTTCAGAAAATCCGGCTCGAAGTTAGGGGTGCGCCAATTACGCGGGGTAAAATTTTCGAAAATTTTTTCAACTCTGTTCTCGCACTTTAAATCTGCACACTTGTCAAGTAAAAGGCGACTTTATCGTTTACCAATTAATTCAGCATAAAACAAACATACCTACGTACCTTTTAATGAACAAGCGAGAGCCGTCAACTGCACACACACACACACGTAAAATTTATTTACACAAAAGTCGTAGCTGTTCCTCCTTTTCCCTATTCGGAGTCAGTCGGCAAGCGCTGGCACAAGGTGGTCCGCCTTCGCAGTGCGAGGCCATAACGCCGCATGAAACGAGTTGTCCATCCGGAGCTGGCTTTGAACTCTTTTGCTTCGATACCCTGCGCTCGGGCTATTCTGCGCGCCTCAGTCTGCACAATATCTAACGACACAGCACAGCTGTCTTGTCGTAGCTCCCGTATATGCCGGACCAGTTGCTCTTCGACGTTCGGATACCTGCCGGTCTTGGCACCGCGGAAAGCCCGTTCGTGTCTTCTTCGTCGCCTTAAGTTTTTCTTCTTGGTCCCTCCAGTACCGAATACTGGTTTCTCCAACGCCGAAATGCCTGCTTGCAGCCCGGTTGCCGTGCTCCAGCGCGTACTGCACTGCCTTCAGTTTAAACCCAGCCGTGTAGCTCGCGTACTTCCCCATGGTGGAACCAAAGTTCAATACACGACCACAACATACGCACACCGCTTGCAAAATGGCGTTTCTTTCTTTCTCTGATGGTGGTGATGGCGATCGAGCCCCCGGCGTTGTACACGTGACCTCCAAAAAGCGCGGCTATTTGGGGGGATCAGTAATTGATGGAACAGCCTTTTTTTTTTTTTTTCGCTCATAGACGGTTTTTTTTTTTTTTTTTTCAAGTTTTATTTCGACAAACATGTTGGTTAGGTCGTTGCACTTTGAATTTTTTTTATTTGCTCGTCGGTTTGCCTTTTTTTTCTTCAGGGCACGGGGACCGCGTTCCAACTGTACCGCTGGGGGGTAGAGTCGTTTCTGATCACAGCCAAGTTCGGGGTGCGCCTATTATGCGCGGAATTAAAAAAATCGAATTTTCCGTGACCAAACTAGGGGTGCGCCTATTATGCGAGTAAATACGGTATACCCTATAGCAAGAGGTGTAGATATAGCAGACTCTCATTAGTATGCAACATGAAAGGACCAGGAAGATCTTTCATTGGACAGGAGTTGCATTTACTGAGAGTGGAGCAGGGGTGCGGAATCAAAGTATGAAACCAATTATATCAGAGCACTTGTTCCATTTAAGCAGCAGTTTCGTTCAAGAGATTTTCGTTCACTGAAGATCTACTGTATAGTAACGAAGAGTTCATCAGGAAGAACCATAGTGTGTGTGTATAAGCAAGGCTTTAATCTGCTCGCATTCGTCTGAACATCTATTTCTGCAACTTTTGCAATGTGCTGCTGTCTTGCATGTGATACATATGAATATTTTATATTTTGAACTTGTTTACAACACAATGTTGCACATGCACAACACCATGAGAGTATGTATTGAAAAATATTGAAAGCACCTGTCCTTCTGTTTTCATTTTTTGTTTACTTCTGTTTTCATTTTTTGTGCTGTGCTCTTACTGTTCCTGGATGCCCAACAGTAAAACAGTACTCTGCTTTTCTTTTCCGTGTTTTCCGCTGCACTCTCTAGTACTTTCAGGCCCGTTGCTGTGTTTATGCGTAAATGGCTTCTTTTCCAAGCTGCACCTTCATAGCAGTGTTCATCACAGCATTCTGGCCTCACGTTTTCAGACCAGGAACGGCTGACCATCCTGCAGAAGGAGCTGCCCACCCCAACATGTCTCAAGGACGTGAAGCTGGCACCCCTGGAGTTTGAAAAGGATGATGACACAAACTTCCACATGGACTTCATTGTGGCAGCCTCCAACCTGCGTGCCACAAACTACAAGATCGCACCTGCAGACCGGCTTCGCAGCAAGCTCATTGCGGGCAAGATCATACCTGCTATTGCCACTACCACCTCGCTTGTCGCTGGTCTCGTCTGCCTCGAGCTTTACAAGGTGACTCTGCGTTGCTTGCTGGAGGCTATACTAGGCTGCTGAAAGGTTGAACTGCTGCCCATGTGTTTGGTGCCGATGTAATACACGACCGATCTTTAATACTGCAAGTCGCAGCAAGTGGCTAATACTGAAAAGACCATGGTTTTTTACCTGTGCAAAATGTCCCGAGGTACAGAAACCCGGATTAGGTCAAATTTGATGACTAAGCTGCACCACACATTAGTACCTTTGTCACAGCAAATATTAAGTCTTAAGTGAGGAGGCTACACTTGATAGGCAACTTTTTTTTATGTACGGATCTGAATGAAATTTTCAGTTTGTGTATCTAGATGTGCAGATTCTAAAAATGTACAGTAAAAGCTCGTTAATTTGGATTTCACGGGACCGGAAAAACTGTCCGAATTAACCGAATGCCGAATTAACGAATGAACAGGGAAAACGTTTAAAATCAAGCTGCAGAAGCATACCTTTATTTGTTGAAGTATTTTGTAATTGTCGTCTGCGTTTTCGCGAAGATTCCGGCTGACATCACAATTTTTCTTAACTGTTCCAAATGGCCAACAGCACGCAAGCTGTCGATAGTGTTCAGGCAAGCGTCCTCTAATATTAACAGCGCCTCCGAGACTTCCCGTGAGCTGCGATGAGGTCGCGGCTGTATCTCCTCGCATGATTCTTCGCCGGAATCGTGGTCTTCATGGGCGCCCATGACATCATTAATAATCTCTTGATCGGTCAGGAGACCACTCGGGGCGACACCATGATCAATCGCGATGTAGTCCTGAAAGGTCACATCTGTGGAAAGGACAGCATCGAAAGTCGGGCAGTCATCCTCGGTGGACTCGGCTGACACCTCCTCGATGCCATCGTCAGCTACTGCTGCATGCTCGCGCCTCACAAAACTGCTGTGCCGAAAACAGTTGGCGATGACTTGCGGCAAAGTGTTTTTCCACACGTGGGCAATGATGTGCACTGCGCCGAGTAAGTCCACTTGATACAACTTTCCAGCTTTTGAGCATAGGATCATTCGCTCTAGCAGGTGCTTGCGGTACTTCGACTTCACGTAGTGAATGATACCCTGGTTCATCGGCTGAAGAGCAGACGTAGTGTTGGGCGGCAAAAAAACTACTTTGATACTCTTCAGTTTCACTGTACAGTTATGGGCACTGCTGTTGTCAACAACCATAATTACCTTGCGGTCCTTCGACGTGAAGTGCCGGTCCAACTGCTGCAGCCAGCCGCGAAAAATGTCCGATGTCATCCATGCCTTCCTGTTCGCTGTGTACTCGACAGGAAGGCTTTTGACGTCCTTAAAACAGCATGGCTTAAGCGCCTTCCCGACGACCAGTAGTGGCAAGCGCTCCGTGCCAGTCATATTGGCGGCAAGAAGCACAGTTATCCTTTCCTTGCACTTCTTGCCACCAATGCACGTGTCCCTTTTGAAAGTCACCGTCTTGTCGGGCAGAGCTCTGAAAAATAGCAGTTTCATCTGCATTGAACACGTCACGTGGTTCATATGCGGCGATGTGCTCCAGCAGCTTTACATTTCTCCACTCGGTGGTCACGCTTTCATCAACACTAGCCTTTTCGCCGCACACTCCTGAAGACAAGTTCGTGTCTCTCTCGAAACCTCGCAAACCATCCTTCTGACGCTTTGAACGATTCAATGTTCATTATTGCAGCGTACCTCTCACCTTGCGCCACGATGAGAGGTCCGCTCAAAGGCAGATGCGCGTTGTGACAGTCAGTAATCCATTGGAGCAAAGCTTCTTCAAGCTGGGGATGAGCTGCGGTTTGCAACCGCTTTCTAGAGGCATGAAACTTCTCGCTTTTGAAGGCTTGTCAAATCTGTTGTTCATTTTTCACGTACGTTCCCAACGTGCTCCGCTTCACGTTGTACTTGGTCATAACCTGCTCTCGCGATTCGCCGTTCTTCAGCGATTCCAAAACTTCCACTTTTGTCGCCAAGTTCTTTGCGTCGTAGTTCTGCCGCTTTTTTGGCATTGCCATCACTGTAGCGCACGATGGTGGTGGCATGCAAATACGGTCACAATGGAAGAAAAAGAGAACTCCGAAAAGAGAACTCCGCAAGAAGAGATGGTTCCGACACGACAACACAAGGGAAAATTGCGTCGGAGGCGCTGAGTGGAGAAGACGCCGACGTTCGGTGACGCTGCGATCGCCCCCACTAGTTGATGATGATGGCGATACCACTCAGGTTTCGGTTTCACTCCAGTGGTGCCAGCGCTGCTTTATCACACTTTTGTGTAGCAGCAGCCGTCAGCATTTGTCCGAATTGAGCGGTACGGAGCCGAATTCGAACGAAATAACGAATGCGATTTTTTGGCTGATTTTCGACTTCTAAGTGCCGCGTCCCCCCTTAAGGGGTCTCAAGGCCGAAACATTTCCGAAAAATGAATTTTTTGAAGTATTTTTTTAAGCAATATATAGGGTCTGAAGGTGTTCCGAAAATGCTATTGTTATGTGATGGCATATTTGTCCAATAACTCAGTTTCAGTTTCGTGACCATTTCCACTCACGAAATCGCCTCAAAAATGGCCATATTTGACGCTGCGACACTTGAGAACCATAAGTAGCGCGGCTATTTTTCTTCTTCTTCTTTTTTTTTTTTTTTTTCGCAGTATTCCTTTAACAAATTATTGCCGCTCAATATGTGTGCATGTGGTCATTTTGAGAAAGCAGCTGGTGTAATGTGAAGAAATAAACTCCTTCAATTTTCCCCCCCTTTTTTTTTGCCAGTTTGTGTTTTAACTATGCAGTGAGTGCAACAAGGAGTCGTTTTTTGATTCTTTGTAAAGCTCTTTTTGGTTCCTCGTTTGCAGCTGGTTCAAGGCCACAACAAGCTTGAGCTTTACAAGAACGGCTTTGTCAATCTAGCACTTCCGTTCTTCGGCTTCTCGGAACCTATAGCAGCCAAGAAGAATGAGGTGGGTAACTTGATGCTTCCGAGATTCAAAGCCACAACCTTCTTGCGACTAGTACAGCGGTTTATTTGTAATGAAGCTAATGTGCTTTTGTGTGTTCGCTGGTACGTCGAAGATCGCGATGGCTGATGGTGCGATTGCAACAGAAGTTGTATTTTTATTCGTGAAATTGCCGGTTCCAATTTCTAAAGAGCATTATGGTCGTCTGAAAACAGCATGAGCTCACTTGCAATCGCCCCTTGCACCGTCTGCTTAAAATTCCCAACAAAATAATGAAGGTGCATCTGTTTCACTTTACTCCAAATTAGCTGTTGGTGTATACATACCTGCCAACTCTCCCGAATTACACGGGACACCCCCTAATTTGGACCTAATCTTCCAATTGTACGAATACAGTCTAGATTCTCCTTAACTATGGCCGCCACGGCAGAGCTCTTTTTTTTTTTTTTTTAATCACTCGCAAACATCAGCTTTTTCTGCTGTGACAGTTTCGGTGCAGCAGAAGAGCACGCGCCACTAAACTTCGGGTTAATTGTCACCATGCCCTGAATATCGATAAGTAAATTCTTGCCACTATAGTATTGCGTGTCTGGGCGAAGGTGATGGAAAATGTACAATTTCTGCGTCTGTCTGTCTTGGCTCCCTCATTCCACATGCTAGGGTTACACCACTTCTCTAGGTGTCAGTTATGTCGTTGTGGTGGCTGTTTCCCAGAGTTAAGTTGGAAGTTTTATGGTGGTGTCAAAAGCAAAGAAGTACTTGCAAGTGTTTCTGGACTCGTACCCAGCTGAATTTCCGTGCTGTGACTTCACAGAAAGGTGACAAGTACGGATTCTGTATTATGTGCACCTGTAATTTAAGCGTTTTCTGTGGCAACAAGGCCCAAATAAAGATGCACATCGCTTGAAAGAAGCATGAGAACCACGTTCAGTCTGCTGAAGGGCAGGGCAATGTACGGGGTTTCTTCTAAAAGAGCTGACATGGCATTGCAATGCGCGCCGAATGCCTCCTCACGAGATTTCTTGCGGAACTGAACTTGTGTAGCTATGCGCTGTTGATCACGCACGACCGTTGTTTCGGAAAATGTTCCCGAAGTGTGAGGAGAGGAACAGTACGAGTGTGGACGTAGAGAACTGCCATTACCTGATAAGTGGCTGAGATGCCGAAAACATGTATGTTTTGAAACGCTGTAGTTCCACAGTCGCATTGGGTGGAAGCAACTACAGCGAGGCACAAATGTCTCGCAGTAATTCTCTATATACCGTACTTCCGCGCATAATAGATGCACCTTTAACTTGGGCATGAGCACTAGTTCTGTTACCGTATTTGCATTGTTGCAATTCAATACCTTTTTACATTAACTGAAGCGAGGAAAAGGGAAACGTAAGATGACCACTGCAGCGACCCGTGAAATCAAACAATTGGCACCGTTCAGCTTACAAATAGTCTGTGTGGCCTGATACAAAATCTGCGATGGCGCTTTCTTTTTTGTCTGTGTGTTTATTTCAGTGGGAACTGCAGGTCTTTCGATGTTAATTATTGGAAATTTGGATGCATCACATGCCTCGGTTTTTGGACATGTGAGACTGCATGCTCAACAAGTTTTGCCATAGTGTAGCCTATGAAGGAGGTTGTTTCGGCTGTAGCGCGAATATCTATCTATCTAGTCTATGCTATCTATCTAGTCTATGCTATCTATCTAGTCTATGCTATCTATCTATCTAGTCTATGCTATCATCGAAAATCAAATTTTCGGAAATTTAACCCAGCGTAGTAAGCGCATCCCCAACTTGGAGCCAGATTTTCTGGAAAAACGGTGCACTGGTGTGAGTAGATACGGTATCCCCCTACCCCACTCACGGCAATCTCGAATTTATAGGCTCCTAAGTTGGCAGGTATCGTGTGTGTGTGTGTGTGTGTGTGTGTGTGTGTGTGTGTGTGTGTGTGTGTGTGGTGTGTGTGTGTGTGTGTGTGTGTGTGTGTGTGTGTGTGTGTGTGTGTGTGTGTGTGTGTGTGTGTGTGTGTGTGTGTGTGTGTGTGTGTACAATATGACAACCTTGTTTACTCAACTAGGCTTCTAATTTGCATGGCACTTTGTTTTTCCTGCAGTACAATAATCACGAGTTCACCCTCTGGGACCGCTTTGAAGTTCAAGGGGAAATGACGCTCCGAGAGTTCATTGACTACTTCAAGGTCTGTGCTCGCTTTGTCGTGACCTGAAGTCCAGGCTTTAGTGGAGCCGAAGTCTTACTCCCTCCCTTTTTTTCTCTCTCAGAACGAGCACGGTATTGAGATCACCATGCTGTCTCAAGGAGTCTGCATGTTGTACTCGTTCTTCATGCCTGCCGCCAAGGTGGAGGAGCGGCTCAAGCTTCTGTGAGTAGCAGTGAGCCTTATGGCCGAACCAATGTGTGCTGCTGCTGGTTGGTGGTTACTGGTACCTGCTGCAATAGTGTTAGAAATAAACCTTTATTACGTTGTATGCAGTTAAACCTGGATATAACAAAATTGAAAATGCCTGGAAAAATTAATTTAAAAGAGGGTTTCCTTATATGCAGGTTCGGTACGAAAATTTGGAAAATTAATGTGCAAATTCAACAATATGCACCAGGAATTTAATAGGACTGATTGTTTGCACAAGCGTGTTGTTTCTTCTAGTCCTGTAGCAAGTTGTCGCCGTGTGCTTGCCTGCTGCAAGGCCGCTCATCAGTTTGGTGTTTGTACTGACGGTGATGTGCGAAGAATGTGCACAAGTCATCCGCGATCCGTCGAATTACACTGGGATGTTTTCTGGCTTGTCTAGAATTGGTTAACCCGTAACTGTCGTGAACCACACTTGCTCCCTCGCTTATCAATTTCGAGGCTAGACGAGTGCCGAGGTGTTGGTTTCCTTTTTCACAGAAGACTGCCTCATTTTTGAGCGGAGACCACGACAACGTTGCAACACGTCGTTGAAAGCAGTCTACCTGTTGCCAGTAGCCTCCATTGCGCGGGCGGCTAGCTTGTTCTCCGCGAATGGATTGACTTTCTGTTCGTCAACGCGCGGCGCACTCCAGCTCACGACCAGTCGCGCAGTTCGAGGACGTTTCGTGAGGCGGGGAAAACCGCGGCATCGGCGCGTTTACCGATAAGACTGCCCTTCTGTTTCGTCACTACAATAATTGATCTCTCTTGTAGCTTCACTTCTGCTTTTTACTTGCAGTCTTCTAACTGATGAGGCTGCAAAACAGTAAATTGTCGGCAACCTGCGGGCTCGTACGTGAGTTAGGCCTACACCGGTCACTCGGCAACCGCCGTTCACCGCGGCAATTTCGTTATCCTCGGCCTGAGCCATAGCAGGGCTCATTCTGAAGTTCACAGCGAACGAACGATCGCCACACCCGCTTCACAAATGTAGCACGGAACTTCTTTAGTGCCGCAGGCAGTCAGTAGCACCATGACAAAATGGCGCATGTCTGTGCGCCTCACGATGGTGAAGCAGACGCCTGAAACGCCACTTGGCCAATCGGATGCCTAGGTTTTGTCACATGCCCCAAGCAGCTAATAGAATCGCGAGCTAGCGGTGGCGGGAAATTGAAGATGAAGAACGACCCTTTCAAATGAGACCAAGATGAACACGATAGCTCGTGTGGAACGGCAACAGTTCGGCGCGGAAAAACGCAATTTCATCGTGAATTTGCGCTCACATTAATCTCACAACGATGTTATAAATCGATTTTGCGCCACAAATAATGAAGCGAGAAGCTGGAAACTTCTCAGATAGGTGCGAAAATAGGTACAGATTCCAGAAATGTCAACTTCAAAAAGTCTATTTTTTTGTGATTTTCGGCCTTCTAAGACTCGTGTCCCCCCCTTAAAGAGGTCATGAAACGCTTGCTCTAAAGCGACAATGCGAAGCCACCGGCGTCCACACGCACTAACTAGGTGACGTCATCATAAGTAATGCTTTGCCTATTGAGGAACGCGGAACTCTTCGTTACTTGCGGGTGCATGCAACTGGAACACTCATCAGCTTCTTTGTCATACGCAATTGGCGATAACTCTAACTCTGATGTCGTATTAAGCAGCGTCCTTGTGAGATGCGGATCGCGTATAGCAGACGCCGATGAACGCCTCTTGCGCGTGCTCGATATGCCATAGAGTTCCACGTTCCTCGATAGGCAAAACGTCTATGCAGGTCTACTCGGGCAGATGATACAGTTAGTGCATGTAGCTGCCGATGGTGCCACATTGTCGTTGTAAAGGGACCGTTTCACGACCCCTTTCAATGAAACTAAAACGGGCAAAATCTATGAACGGCGGCAAAAGTGGCAATGGCAGTGTAGAAACCATGAAGCAAATGCCAAAGCTAGCCTAGCCAAGACAATCCATTGGTTGCATATGTCGGCGCACGCCGAGCAGCAATCGATGTTTCGTTGTTAACTTGAGGACATCCTTGAGGAACCTATAGCTGTAGCTGAACCCGAGCTCATTTCAATGACTGACAGTGTAGCACGAGATGCTGTCATCCTGTTACCACACTACTTTGAATACGATGGTGGCAGAGAGTTTCTGCCCAGCCTTTCAGCAATGCACTCCTATGTGAGAAATTGCTTGAACAAGGCCTAGTAAATTATCACTACCTTTTTTCCAAGTCTGCAATATTAGCAACATTTTTCTTTCTAATCAACTATAGTAGTATTCTATACTTCAAAATGTTTTTGTTCAGTCAGCCACAGTTGGTGCTTTTGAGATAGTCATATTTCATTCATTTTGTGGGCTTTGCTTAAACTTCTCATAAATGGAACATATTTTCTTGCCCCTTAAAGTTACGTTTAAGAGAAGTCCACTGTATTATTGCTGCTGCTCTGTGCTTTTTTAGTGTTAAGCTGCATTGAATGACAGTTCAGGTCTGCTCCTTTGTTACCTGGCGAATATTTTTCGTGCATCTAGGGCTTTGCCACGAACTTGCTCCTAATTGTTCAAATTGCCAAAAAATTGTTATTTAAAACGAACAATATCTGTGTGACCGTGAAAATATACATCGTAAGTGCGATTTTGTGCCATTGAACCAAACGTCTCCGAGCGCCGCTGATTGGTTACGACAAACGAAGTCTGCGCTCTGCTGACTTCCCAGGAAACCACTTTCGACCACCGATCAAGCATCGGCCAGGTGCCCATACATTCTTATTGTTCAATGGCGACCCTGCCTCCGCGCTCTTCTAGTTGTCGCTCACCCCGATCGCTTTTTGTTGCGCACCCCTCCGTCCTTTGTCTCCCCGCTACTTGGAGCACCCCGCTTCGATAGACGAGGCCCGTGTTTTCACACTGCCATCGATCTTTCGAAGACCGGTCGGCCATCTACCCTGTCTCTGATCTCTGGTACTGTCTGTCGTTGGCGTCGCTGGCCTGGAGTGACCACACCATTTGCCAACATCATCGGCCGCAGACTGTATCCGATGGTCTGCGTCCAGTGCATATGCCACCGCACAGACTCTGATAATTTACGATTCGTTTCGTGTTTAGGACTTGTTCTCGCTCACTTCACACTCGGTTCAGCATGCCCTCCGCACGCGTGCGGAAGCGCAAAAACGACTGTTAATTTGCGCGGAATGAATCGCGAAATGTCGAAGTTGGTGAGGCCACGCAAACCTGCCGGCGCAATAAGACTATTTTCTGACCACGGCCGCCGATTCTTTGAACACCGCCGCCCGCGCCGATCCAGGTGGCCATGCTTTGACTTCTGCGAGCGCAGGCACTCTCAGGTTTTTTGTGCGTGCCAATTGCACGTTTTGTGAACCTTTCAAACCAGTTACCAAACTTGCCTCCTTCCTTCTCGTGTGTTTTGGCTTTCAAGGTCTCCCTCCCGCCGGATCCTCCTCTCTTCACTCTATTGCAACTCCTTGCCTTTCCTCTCTTGCAAATCTGCCCTCCTGTCTTGATCACAAGCCCTTTGCCTGTCTCCACCACGACGCCAGCCATGCTGGCTAGAATTAGTTTCGTTTTCTGATTAGAAACGGTCCCAGAGCTGTTCCACGCATTCTGGCATGAGTGTCGCGTGTGCGCGTCTATTGCTCTTGGTGTGCGTATGTGGTCAGCATGGCAAACGAGAGGGCTTGCACGCTTTTTCTGCCGTTCAACACGTCAAAAATGTGACCCCTTGGCTTGAGCGTAATTTGCACGTCAGGTGCCGCGTTGCAGAGCGCTTGCTCACAGCTGTGACCACCTGGCAGCCAACTTGCCGCTTTGGGGGTCCCGGTATTCAGCTGTAGAGATGGTGAATATTTCTTGGGTGGTGGTGACGGCTACATGCGCTCGAAACTGTTTGCACGGGGTCGACGTCGGGCCCGACGCCATACCTGAAGCTCCCGAACAGGATCACTCAAGCAGCGATTTGTGGCAGCGCGTCGTTGACTCCGACCTTGGAGAGCGGACATCTGTTGCGATGGTTTAATTACGGCCGATGATGATGCTGACACTGCAAAACCGTGCACGGATTAGAGCATTGTGAATGAAGTACGGGGCGAGAGCGATTTGGAGGAATCGGATTGCGAGAACAACGAAACATTTGAACCAGTGCCTCATGCAGCTTATGCCCGGGCCCGGCGAACGAGCACCCTGCCGTTCTAAATAACTCGAGACAGCCCTTATCGCTTGTGCTCTTCGAAACACGTGCTTTACGGACTTTTTGGGCAAAAAAAGTTTGTGTTTTCACTTGGAACTTTTTTTAAAGCTGTGATTCATTTACTACCAACTTCGAGATACAGCGAACAGATGCCGCGTCAGGCGCAGGCTCATTATCAGCAGGCTCGACTGTATATAGTCTGCAGAGAAAACCCACTTTTAGTAGAAGTGTCTGTTCAATCACCGAGCTGGCACTGTGGACACAGTGGGTACAGCAAGATTCCATCGTGATTTTGCCGGTTGACCTTCATGAAACTTAAGGTCCACCTTAGCCTGCGCTTTGGAACATGTTTATGCAATAGTGGCTCATGTTAATAACCCACAGTTCTCTGATTTCGTGTTTGCGCACCATGTTTTTATTTGCGACAGTTGAAGATTCGAATTAACACTGAAATGTTGTTGTATTTTCGTAAAAGCATAGAACAATTGTTTCGAACCATCCAAAGATTGTAAGTGCTCTGACCAGCATTATGCGATTGCACTGTCGTTGAGGCTCTTGTGGTGAAGCATGGAGGGCCGTCTTTTGCAGCATGAGTGAGGTTGTCAAGAAGGTGTCCCAGAGGCCCATTGATCCGCACGTGCGTGCCCTGGTGTTTGAGCTGTGCTGCAACGACAAGGACGGCGAAGACGTGGAGGTGCCCTACGTCCGCTACCTCCTTCCGAAATGACCATCATGGTCTGGCTAGTGTAGGAAGGTAAGCCCCGACAAGGGAACTCCCCTGCCTGAATAAACCACACCACTGCTGTCTGATGCTTTTTATGGTTAAGCATTCTTTTAAAGTTTTTGTGCTTGGTAAGTGTGCTGGAAGAGAATGAATGCCAGTCAATATTGGAGGGGTGGGTGGGCATGGTTATCGTACTTACTCAATTCTACCGTGCCCTCAATTGCAACGTGCACCCATTTTTCTTGTTGACCCGCACGATCACACCACTCAAGGTGCTGGCGACTCCTTTCGCCAGCGCCTTCCATTTAAATACAGTCGAACCTCAATATATCAAACGGCGCAGCGATCGCGAAATAGTTCGATATATCCAGAATTCGATATAGAAAAATCACGAAAAAATGCGTCAACAGCTGGCTGAAAACAACCAACGAACCGTTCAAGCGTGGTGCAGTAAATACTCACTTGAAGATTCAAACATAGTATTTATTGTGTTGGTTTAAAATATTGAAAAAGAGTAGCCTGCTTTTTGTTGGCCATGACGTTTGACGACTGCGTCCTCAATATAGTCTAGCGATCCATAAGTGATAGGCCGGTGCCGCAGTGGCGCGGCGCACAAGGGCCAAGGCAGCTACGACCTCAGCTGATGTCGGGAGCAGGGCACCATCAGCGCTTGCGGGATCCACCTCGGCAGAGTCTTCATTTGGCTTCTCAACAGTAGCCTCGGCGACAATCTCCACATCCGTGAGCTCCGCCGTTCGGAGTTAGGCCTGTCGCGCACGACAGGCCTAACTTCGAATGCACGAACACTGCGAGCACAACGACCGATGCCTGCCGATGCTACGGGGAAGTGCGCAGTGTGCCGTTGACACCATAGAGACTGCAACGACTGCAAGCTGCAAGGCTGCGGCGTGAGTCCAGGTGTAAAGCGCGCACATGGCGCGCCCATTGCTAGCTGGGCGCGCCTGACTGCTTTCCCTTTCCAGGCGGCAGCGCGAGCCGCGTTCGAGACAGTCGTCTGCGTCCTTTTTCTCCTATACTTTTCCTCCTCAATCTTTACCTCCCACTCCCCCTTCCCTCGCGCGAAGCCATGTCGGTGCCTTCCTATTGAAAGAAAATAACAGCATCGCGCTTTTCTCTTCACTTTCCTCATTCAAGAACCTCTACCGCAAGGTTGCCGAGCGCGTACGCCGCTACGTTAAAGAGGCGCTCTCGGCGCCATCGATGTATGCAGCTTTCGTAAAGCCCGCCGCTCTACCCCTACTTTCGAGAGTTGCGGGAAAGCTTCGCCGCCTGTCAGTGGAGCGCGGGCGGTTTGGGTTGGCTGAGTTCGATATATTCATTATATATCAAACTTTGTTCGAAATAAAAAAATCAATAATGCATGTGATTTCCCACGTGATATAGGAACCGTTCGATATATTGAGGTTTGACTGTATGAGGTACGGGCGAAGCTTGTGCCTATCTGATGTGTAACAGAGCATTGCCGTCACTGTCGTTTTACCGTGGACTGATGTCAGCACGCGAGCTAGCTTCGCCCCCTTCTTGTCGACAGTTGTGGTGCCAGGCATGTCGAAGCAAAGAGGTGTCTGATCGGCATTCCCGATTTGCCCAAGCAGGTAGCCGTTGTTGTGCCGCAAGTTTAGAACGAACCTCTGAAAACTGTGAAGCTTTTCATCGTACTCCTCCGCAAAACTTTTGGCATATGCCCGTTCACCTTCGGAGGGAAAAGCCTTTCCTCTTCATAAAGTTAGTTAGCCAGCACCTGCTCGTTTTAAACTGACTCCGCACTAGACCTTTTTCTAAGGCTAATTGCATAGCCTGCACTTGGAGCAGTTCTATCGTCACGGGCCGCTGTGCCGCTCGCTGCTCAAGCACATACTCGCCGAGCAGCTCTTCAATTTGCGGAAACCGACCCTGCTGTGGCCCACTGAAGCCTTTGCGTGAAGCTTTGCTGTCGACAATCTTCTGCTTTTGTTTCCGCCAATCCCGCACGTTTGTTTCGGGAACTCCGAACGACCACGATGCGGCGCGATTTCCGTCAGTTTCGGCACACGCTATGACTTTTCTTTTAAAAGCAGCATCGTGGTGCACTTGAGTTTTTGGAGTCAGCTCGTCCATGCCGTCGATGCTAATGCACTACAAGATGAACTCCTCAGCACACGTACGAAGTGCCGCACATGGGAAACACATAGGCAGAAATGGCCGGCGTGTCATGCCGACGCACATAGGGGGCGGCCATTTGAAATGCCGATGGCAATAGAATGTCCGTACTCATTTTCTTTTTTCGTGCGTGATTCTAAGGCGACTGCGATTTATGAACTCGCTGAACCGGAAGAAAGGTGCGCGTTAGATTCGAGTAATTATGGTACATACTTTTGAAGTCTATGCAATTTCTACTTTTTCACCTGTAAACTCCGGCTTTTACAGCCACAGCCGAAATTTGTGCTGTGACCCACGTGCAGGAGCTACAAGACTGCGCTCATCTTTTCCACTGTTGTGTGGCATCAAGCTAGCATTGTAGTTGTACCTTCTTTTAATTGTTTCTACATGCTCACAGTCATTACATCGAAGTGTTAACCAGTGTTGCTTCATTGATTAGACCCCAGCTGCAGCAGAACTGCGCCTGGCTAATTGTGTTACAAGGTGGTGTAGAAACCACCGAAAAAAGGTTAGCAAAGTTGTGAGGCTGAAACTTCCATAGTTATTTTGTTGCTAAGCCTTCGACGACACGTAAGCACCTGGTGTATTGCCTGTAATGTTTGTGGAACCCTTCTGATCTCAAAGGCTGCATGGAGCAGCAGGCAAGTTCAATGCCATATGTTGGTCTCAACAAGCCCCAATTTTGGCATTTCAATTCACGCCATTTCCGACTGTACCTGAAAATGATGGGGTGCTTTGGGCAGAGGCTTTTTATACTATTCAGAACTTGACATTTATGTGGGAAAAAAAATTAGTTTCCCTGCATTTGCCATTTTTATTTTTCGGGTGTGCAATGTACGTCATGCGTAAATTTTTCGTTTGCTTTTTCAGTTGGTGAAAAACGGCGATGGTACCCACCGCCTAGCTTCGCATCTCAGGGTTGGTCGTGCTGTATGGAGGCCGGTGCCAGCCACGTGTCCATCTGTGCCCTTGTAACCATTTCATGACCAGCCTTAGTGTTTTTTGTATTTATATTCAAACAAATTGGCACCAGTGCTTTTCACAGTGCCACTTATTTCTTTTTTTGTTCTTGTTGTTTGAAGGGGAGATGCTGCTGAAAGATTTTCACTTTTTTTTTTTTTTTTTGCCAATGAATTACTTTGCCAGTTGAATTACTCGTCTCAAGTTCCCTTGCCAATACAGCTTGGCCACTTGTCACTGCGATTCCTGTGAGCTCACCAAAGGTGCACTTTTCAGATAACCATTATTCCCAAGCTTCCTTAAAATGCAAGAAGTAATAATAAAAAGATCTTTTACCTGTAAACAAGCTTTATGTCTTACCTTTGAAATGAAATGTCGTGATGCTACTAGGCAATTTCAGAAGCTCGACCATTAAGGTAGCTAGGATGGTGTCGAATCTGAATTTTTTTCAGTGTTTCATATAATGAGGATTTCTGTTATCTCCTTTGAAGGATATTGCATATACTATTTAAGAAACTTCGAATAACCAATTTCTAATGCCTTAACATATAAGGCCTCAAGTGATATATTTTATGTGCCTTCCTTAGTAAGCTCTCGTCATTCTACAGTTGGAGGGAGAAATATGAGTCAATATTAAAATATTCGGAAGCAAGTTGTGGGCAGTTGTGGTGGGCAGTTGTGGTGTAAAACTACATTTTACTGAATGTTGCGATACAAAACTAAAACTCTGCAACTCGTTATAGAACATGTCGCTAGGTATTTGACAGCATCACACTCTGTAAACAGATCTATGTTTTGTTGCTCTGTTATATATTAAAAAGTCAAGTAGCATCTCCCCTTAAGAGTTGTGAACTGTCATGAGGCTTACAGTTTTTTTTTTTATTGAGGGCAATAAGTGTAATGAAAGCCAGGAAACATGATGGTGTGCAACAGTCATGTGTGCATTTTTTTAACTGCTAAAAATAAATTTTCATTGAAACGTCCATTTTGTGTGCATATATTTTTGGGTAAGTTTGGTTTGGGTAATTAGTCAGTTTCTGGCAGCAGCTAATTTAATCTTCCAATTCTGAATACTACGGTATAACTATTTGGGTTTTCAGCCTAAACTGAAGACAACTGAGCAGTGTCAGCTGAAGGGATGGGTGTATATTAAATGTGAGGTTGGAAGCTGCTTCTAAGCAAATAGTGACTTCATTGAATGATCATGAAATGTTCAAATTTTGTCACGTTATACAGAAAAGTAAATATTTTCATAATGACCCAGATAATTTCCGAAGTATGAAGGTTGAGAGTTCAATCCTGGCAGCAGTAGTTTCGTTTCGATAGGATACAATTATAACTGGAACTAGGCATCTGCAAATGTCACCTGTTGTACGGAGTGAAAAGAAAGGAACTTTGTACACTAGTAGCAAGACCAGGAAAACTTCTCGGAGATGAAACGTGTTGTATTAAAATTTACAAGGCTTGTGTGAATATTCAAATAAATGGTAGAGTATTCAATTTGAATTTAAATTATCGAATATTTCGAAGTATTTGATATGAACAAATAGGTCTACATTAGTCCACTTGTAACGGTGCTAAGCCGTGAAAGTACCTATCCAGGAGAAATTTGCTTTGCCGCGAAGCCAGACTTCAAATTCAAAGGAGCCCTGCAACACTCTTCGAGCATAGTCGGCAAACGCTGCCGATCGGTAGTAGAGGCTACTGAAAAAACGTGTGCTGAATATAGCACAGCTCGCGACCTGGGATTCACAATAAATTCTCAAAGCCAGATAAAAAGTGCTCTCTTCTCTTGGCAGATGACTCCACAATGTCAAAAATCGCTCGTCACATCGATTGTAGAAGCCAATGGCTGATTTGAGTATGGGGTGCTCGGTCGTTACTGGGGCTGCTGCGACTTGCCCACGTACACATGCGCGATCGCACTGAAAAGCCGCTTATTCAAATAAACGTGGAAAGAATGCTCAAGGTCACGATGTGCATGCGACACATTTTCTTTCCCCATGCCATGTCTTCTGGCTTTACTTCAAGGGCTTTCGTCGGGACGAGAGAATGATGATGATGAATCAACATTTATTGAGCCCAACATCAGTGGTAGTGCGTGCAGGCATCGGACAGGGTGGTTCCTTAGTTGCGTGACCCGTATGTACCCAGCAGCTCCTGGCCCCTGTCTCTGAGTGCACGCAGAGTTGGTAGGGTAGGGCTGTAAAACAAGGTCTCCCATCGCTCAAGGGGTTGGGGATTTGGGGTGTTGGGGGAAGGGACGGTGGGGGGGTTTCTTGAGTTCTGTGCACTCTGCCAAGATGTGTGGCAGGGTGCCATTTCCTATTTTACAAAACGGACAGCGTGTTGTATCTCAGGGTACATGCGGTTCAGCAGTACAAGATGCGCAAGCGATCCCGCCTGCGCTCGACACAGTATCATCTGCTGTTTCCTGGTCAGCATGGGTGCGGTTCTGGTAGTCTGCACCTTTCCTCTCGGTACATCTGGGTAATGTCTCGAAAGCTGAACCGGGTGGGGTAGCTCTTCCGGCTCATGCTCGGCCCGGATTGACAATTCTCGGGCACGATAGCCTGCTACCTGCGTGTGAGCCGGGACCCACACGAGCTCTATGGCTCTTCCCGGAGGTTTGCACTTGGATAGAATGGCTCGAGCTATGGACGAGACTACCCCCTGCGGAAGCTTTCGTAGGCTGTCTTTGAGTCGGTGTCCATGCTCGGCTGTACGAGTGCGAGGGCCACGGCAGCTTCCTCTGCAATTGTGTGGCCTGTTGTCCTCAGGGACGCGCTGACGATTAGCCTGTCAGTGGGCGTAACCACTACCGCCACACGGTCACTGTTTTCGCAGCGAGGCGTCCGCGTACATGATCCTGGGGTTCTTTTCCAGCTTTCGGGCCATGGCTTTGGCCTGCGCGGTGCACCTCTCGTCGTCTTTGACCGGTGTCATGTTCCGGTGAAGGGCTTTGGTTTGAATTGTTTTCCAGTCGTCCTGAAGGGCCGCGCCTCGATGGGTACTGGTTCTATCTGCCATCCCATCTTGCCTAGGACGGTTCGTCCGTGCTCCCTGTGACTGAGCCGGATTCTCTGATTAGAGAGGTGGGATTCGATAAGCTCCTCCATCATGTTGTGGGCGGCCATATCTAGCAATCTTAGCGTAGACGAGTATATTAGTACACCCAGTGCTTGCTTCGTTGCCTTGCGAAGCATCGTGTTGAGGGTGTCCCTATTGGCTCTCGTCGGCGGGAGATATGGGGCGGAGTAGGCAACCCGCGACACAACGAATGCACGTACCAAGCGCATGACATCGTCCTCTTTCAGGCCTCGGTTTCTGTTAGATACCCTCCGAATCATGCCAAGAATCTGTACGGTTGTAGTCTTGATCTTTGTGACGGTGGCTTAAGCCTTCCCCTTCAGTCTGAAGCAGTAGACCGAGAATCCTAATTTGCTGTGTTGGTTTTGATGGCCATTCCATCGATGGTGATAGTCACGTTAGGCGGCGGCTCCCTCTTGGGTTTTCCTGGTTGGATCATGAGCAGCTCCGATTTTTGGGGAGCGCAGCTCAGTCCACACGACTTGGCATACTCGTGCACAGTCGTCGCCACCCGCTGCAAGGCTTCCTCCGCCCAGGCATCGGACCCGGCTCCGGCCGTTCACAACGTGATGTCGTCGGCGTAGAACGCGTGGTCCACACCTTCGATTTGCTTGAGAAGATTGGGCAGAGGCAGGAGAACCAGATTCAAGAGTAGGGGCGACAGGAACGATTCCCGAGAGGTGCCCCAATCGCCGTGCTCGACAGGGTCCGATGTCTCCTCCCCTATTCTGATAGCCGTCGTTCGGTTTGACGGAAAGTCATTTATGTAGCCGAATGTCTTGCGGCCACACCTGGTTTTGTTCAGATTTTGCAACATACTCGCATGCGACACGTCAAAGGCTCCTTTCAGGTCGAGGGCAAGTATCCCACGCAGTCCGTGCCTCGTTGCTTGCTTGACGATCAGCTCGTGGAGTGGGATCATCACGTCTTGGGTGCTGAGTTGTTTCCCGTAGCCGCACATCATCTCCGGCATCTGATCTGTTTCTTCGAGGTGCTTTTGCAGCCAGCGAAGGACCATGCGCTACATCACCTTTCCCACGCAGGACATAAGGGAGATGGGCCGCATGTTCCATGGCTACTTGAAAAGCTGTTGAAAACCCCTTTTTTAAATGAAGATATGTTCCTCAAATTGATTTATATTTTTCTTAAGCTTAAAAGCTTGTTTTGCCGACTTATACACTCTTACTGTAATGAATGTTACGTATTTTACAGCTGTTATCACTTGCATCCTACTGAAGTCAAATCCAGCTACATCTCGAAGTTCTTTCGACTTCCTTTGAACCAGAAAAGAAAGAACTTCCATAGAGGCCTTACTTCAATTTTAAAAACATATTGTGCAGGTTGGTTAGGTCATGATAAATATGGCCATTTTTTATACTTCATATTCTATTCTATTTGAAATTATTCTAGCAAAATCGCTATTCACTTCGAACCTAAAATTCACTATTTGCGCAAGCCTAAGACTTACTATATTTAGGGACTGACTGACGACTGGCCAAAACAAGTGGTTAGATCTTGGTGAAAATTGAAAGACTAAATCACAGTGACGAATGAAGCATGTTTTTAGTGGTCTTAGGAGAACCTATTTTTTTAAATCTTATTTAAGTAAAAAATACCAGTATTTGACACAGCTTTAGCAGAAGAGCCTTATAGAGTTTCACCTTGCTGTACGTAGTCTGATGCTTTCTTGCCCATAGAAGTTAGTCCTCATACTTGTTATCCTTATCCATCCCTTCTCATTTCTCTGCTGCTAACGAGGTAAAAGGAGTTGCACGTAGCAGAACGTAAGTTGAGGCACATGCACAGTAAACTGCCGCGTACAAACAAAACTTGCTCTCTTTCTCTCTCGCCTCCTACTGTTTGCAGCATGTGGTGTGCGTATACGAATTCATAGTCATAGTCGTATCTAAAAGAAATTGTGATTGTTTTATGGCATTTCCCGCAATGCTATTCTGTGAATAGACAGGTAGACCAGTAAGCTTTCTGCTGTGTTAACCATTTATAGGCCAAATTTGTTTTAACAAAAGTACCTGGATTTATTATTTTAGGATGCACATGATTATGGCAGTAAAAAAAAATTGCATGTTTCGATTTGTTTATTTAATAATACCTCACAGGCCCCAGAAGAGGCATAAGGTGAGAGGAATATAGTATACAATGCAATCCCCTAAATAGGCATATTAACAGAAATTTGTGACATAATAGAAAATTGTGCACAGGAGTAAATACAGATTGCTGTTACAGTACATATTATAACACAGTCAAAATACAATTACGCCATTATACACCAAGTAATGAAAACGAAAACTTGTGCCAATTAATTCTCAAGATTAATTAATGCCCGAAAGAATTTTTATTTTATAGTTTCATCATTTTACTTATTTAAGTACTTAGATGGGATAACATATTGCCCATTAGCCTTAATGCAAGTTTACAACTAAAATGCAGTGAAATGTATGAACAGTGCAACCGCTTCTGCAATTTCTTTGTTCACATATAACGTCGCTTAGTTGTTTGTGCCAGGTTAGCAGTACACGTAGAGGAGATTGTAAATATGGGCTCTTGAACAACATTTTATCTTGGACTTTATGAGCTGCTTACTGGCCTACCTACAAAATTGAGGTTAATTGAAATCTCCGACTGAAAGGATTTAAGAAAATTGGCTTAACAAAAAATGTTTGTTAATCCCGTATAAAAAAATTATTGTAGAGGTAAAGGTAATGCGTACATTGCCCTTTATGAAGGGGAACACGTGAGCGCATGGCCTTCGCTCTGTGGCGGCTGCCTACAGGACCATCAACCGACAGCAAAAGAAGAGGCGTTTGCCTTTGGCGTCATCTATCGGCAAACAAAACGAGTTATGGCCGCTTGACAGGCGCTACAAGATACTGTAGGCAGTCGTTGTAGAGAGCAGGTCACGCGATCGCGTGTTCCCTTTCATAAAAAAATGACATTTTACATTTAACCTCGGTATGGTGTCACAGCAGATATTTCCCCTGTTTAGGTGGTTTCACGGCAGTTTTCCCACGCTGCTGCGAAGCCACCTTTCAGCATGAGCACGCCTCGTGAAATGATGGTCAGGACAAGACTCGCAGGCTGCCCTGTGGTCCTTGCCCCACAACCACTCCCTCCTAACTTTCTTGCCGAGCTCGCTTCTTGTGGATATCTTCATCCTGCAGTATTAGCCCACCTGCAGTGGACCAGAGATCGCTCTCATTTTCTGGGCAACGCACGGACCCACGCTGAGGCCTGAGTAACCTGGTGGTCTTAGACATACTTAGATATACTTCCAGGGTTGGCTTGAGGTTTATCTTCCGACCGTGGACTGCGTAGAACGCCACCAGGAATGGAAAGTCCACCTGAAATCCCTCGGATTGGTCCATAACTTCCTAAACCAATTTATACTTTTCGAGAATAGATAACGTGCTGCTTGGGGCAAGCACTAATCATGCCCCACATACACCTCATTGCTAGTTGTGTTGTACCACACCGACTCTATATCACACATATTGGCACAGCCCCCAAGGCCAACGCACTTCAACGCTGCTTGCTTTAGTCAAACCAGTGTCTAGGACCCCGGTCGAACTTACGTGGGTGGCCTGGGTTGTAAACCTTTGCGCAACAACCTCCTCTAGGGCTACGCTCCCTTACCGTATACTCGCCGCCGGTTAATGACACCTTACCTTAGAGCGTGGACTTTGGTTTTGAAAATAGCTTTTTGCTCTGGAGGTTGTGTACAATAGAAGGGGGGGGGGGGGGCAGAAGTTCCCAGGCCACTATTCCATGTATTTCTACGGAAGCGTGGCCTGGGAACTTTTGACCAGGACTGTAGGTCTGTTCGTTTTAACAACGTTAAATTAACAGTCAGGGAAGCCCCGTTTGTCGTGAACAGAAATTATCATGAACGGGCACGCGCATTCTTCGTACGCCTCTACTTCGCTCCTAGAATATGGGCGCCGATTTGTCCAGTGTAAGACGGAATGAGTCCCTGGATTTTTTTTTTTTCCTATGAAGTGCCGACAACCATTGGAGTGCCGTCGACGAATGTCACTGGCTAACGCTCGTTTTCGGCAGCCATGTTCTTCCTAACGCTTTGCCAGCACTTGGTTGAACGAGTCCACCGCTCACTATAGCAACGGGGCACCAACCGGAGGAGAAAGGTGCGTAGCGTCCGCTGAAGGATGCGTGGCTAATGTACTTAGACATCAGTAGAGTGACTTGTTGGGCAAGTTGGTTCATTCTTGCGGTAGCTTTTAGCGCGAAATAAACTCACCCTACTGAAGTTAATCACTAGTTCTTTGCGTTTGTCCGTCTCTCGTCTTCATTTCGCGATAAAGGCTACGCGTACTTAGACATACGTGGCTTTATAAATCTTCGAAGTTAAGAAGCTAATGGCGGCAGTCTTCGGCCGCGCGTGAGAGAGCCGGGAGAGGAGGCAGTTGTCGGTACTTAGGGTACTTAGGTAAAAGTGAAGAATCTAGAAATAGAAAAATCTAGGGATTTTAGAATAACTTTTATGGGCGAGAAAGCGAGTACAGAGGGAAATGAATTCTCGGTGACGTGGTGTGATTCGAGGCCGTGTACCCACAATCCGAAGGCAGCGTGAAAACCTTTCGGCTACTATCCAGGCACGCAGCAGAGGAAATCCTTATATTCTGCAGTAGGAAAAAAAGAGTTGGGAAAGGGAAGTGAGGAGCAAAGCATAGTCTTGTGTAATATATCATGTCCCGTGTAGTGTAGTATGTCCCTTTCGGAGTCTGTCTGTCGTTACTGAAGCTTTCAAGCCGTTGCTGTTCAGTGTCGACACTATTACTTAGCTGTGTTTTACGCTAATTTGCACGAGAGATAGTAGTTTCCTCCGTAGAGTTTCTCGTGAGGAATTTTGTGGTTCCTCCTTAACAGCTCAGAGTCGCGCTACGAACAGAAGCGTCTTTCATGACGTCATACCGTTGCCGTCCAAGCTGAATCGAAGACAACTATGCCTGGCGTGCAAAGCCATTAACGTTATAGTTTCTTTTCATTCACGTCACATGAGCCCAAGCTGTTGGGAAGTAATGATTCCCACTTATCCCGATGTGGGGAACCACTTACAGCATCTTTGTGTGAGTTATCCCTAGAGTCCCGTGGTACAAGAAGACATGTATGCCGAGCTTCGAGTTTTCCAACAGCCTTGCACGCTTTTCTTTGTTTTTTTTTCTCGAGTGACTGGCGTGCTGTCATTCTTCATAAAGAAAGGTGCCATATCGTAAGTCGGCAGGCTCATCAACCAGATAGCTTTCTGATTAAAATTGCTGGAGAACTTTGGTGTACCAATCAATGATCTTTTACGTGAATTGTAGGTAGTTATAACCTTCACAATCTTCTGGAATTTATCCGCCACCCCCACCCCCCTCCCTTTTTTTTTTTGGATGCGGGGGATTCTGGCGGCGTTCGGCACATTCCTCAAGTACTCGACGTACGCTTCCCTCGTTTTAGTTATGTACGGCATCTAAGGAGCATTTACTACAAGAATTTAAACTGCGAGAAAAGGTAATGTAGGTATTACCTACAACTTTCGTAGTGAATATTTAATTTCTATATGGGCTTGAGGTGGTTGCACGGATTCCGTTGTGAGGTTGTGTGAAGTCTGGATGGCCACTTCGATGTGCGCAATCATTCTACACGTCGACATGTTTACCGTAACTCTCCGCAAGTATTTTCGTTGAACGTGCTTTCATGAGCGCTGTACCTATTATTTCATGCATAGTTTCAGCCAGTTAGTTTGGCTACTTGGCCGTTCCGTAGTTTACTTCATTCCATATCTTATTCCACTTCATGCTAATTCGTTATGTCAATGTCTTTGCCCGCCCGGTTACTTTTTGGGGAACGCGCCTCGGAAGATTCGTTCCTCACCATCCTCACTTAGTCGTGAGAAGTTTGATGTGTGTTTGACTTAACATGTATGAGTATGCGAAAAAGAAAAACCTGCTTTGCAATAAATGCCCGCACCATAAAAAGAGTTATACAACGGAAAAAGGC